AGGAGAATGCTGGGTATGACCACAGCAGGTCACAGGGTGATTTAGGTAGTCTACTGATGATACTTAGCTGAAGAAGCAGGGACGAGGCAAAGAAGCCACTCTGGGGACCTGGGGCAACATTCACACTGGTTGTAGAAACCATCAATCCCAGAAAGGCTGGAATACCTACTATCAGCTTTCAGTAGGCCAAGGCATGCTGGCTAGTTCTAGTTCAACCTGACACAAAGTAGATTCAGCTGAGAAGGAATCTGAATTGAGAAATGCCTCCATAAGATTGGCTTGTGAGCAAGCCTATAGGGAAGTTTCTTAATTTGTGATTGATGGGGGAGGGCCCAACCCACTGTAGGTGGGGTCATCTCTGGGCAGGCGGTCCTGAATTCTATTAAAAAGCAGGCTGAAGGAGCCACAGGGAGTGAGACAGGAGGCAGCACCTCTCCATGGCTTCTGCTTCAGTTCCTGCCTCGTTTGGCTTCCCTCAGTGGACTGGTCAGGATAGGCTGTAGTCTAGGGTAGGAGGACAGACAGACAGAGAGGGTTTCCCATACAAAGCAGGTCTGTCCCATCCAGACAACCAAAAGCTACAGGAGGATCTACAATAGAAGGGACCCTACATTAGTGAAGAAATCAATACAACAGGCCACACAGAAGCTAAGCTCTCATTGGTGGCCCATGGCTACATTCTAGGAGGGATGTCACGAGCACAGAGCCAGGCTTTATGGCTATACCTCAAGCAAGAATCTGTACCTTTATCAACTCTCCCTGAAAATGACCCTGGGACAAGTGTAGGCAAAAAGAAGGCTGCAGTAAGTCTCCATGTGGCCCCAATGCTGCCTGTGGACATGGCTGAACTCACTGCCCTGCATGGACCTGTACTCCCTGGACAATAATCCCAAGTGACTCTAGAGAGAGGTGACAGGTCTGAAAAGAGAGACCTCTTATATTCAGGGTAGAGAGGAGGTCCCCAGGTACATAGCCTGGAGCTAGGCATGGAGACAGTGAGGAGGGACTTGCAGAGCGGCAGCAGCAGCAGCGACAGCAGCACAGGATCTGCAGGAGCGTGGGAGCACTTCAGAACTGAGAGGGAACTTCATATCCTCAGCTACAGAGCTCAGAGGGCTGTGGTGTAATGTTGAAGGAACAGCACCTTTTTGAAAGCAAGATGTCACACACTGATACAGAATGTAGTCCTACAAGGCAAGTTGGGATTGATTGAGGCTGTGATTCTGACAGGAGAGGGTACAGAGTTGCTGGGGTAGGGCTCTTCAGAAGACTGGGGGTGAGGGTGCAGGACAACACGGAGAGAAAAGGAACCTTCCAGCAGGAGAAGGGTCCACTGAGGGCAGAGTAAGCAACTGGAGTTTGTCTTCCCTGGACCCGCCTTCCAACAGGAAAGGGTCGGTGGGCTCTGGGCATGGAGAGGTGAGACGCACTGTCCTCAGAGCCCATCAAGACACTAGGACTCGATGGAAGCTGCGGTTCCAAACCGAGAGAGGTGGGCACCAGTGCCACATGCACTTCTATTTAGTTTTAACATCTGTATCTTTAATTTTACTTACTATTTTGCCAATGCATGAAAACATTTTTAAGTTTATGGAAGTGACCAAGGCAGCAGCCCACAGGGAGGCTGCTGCATGTGTGTAGTCTTTCTGTCCTTCCCAGAAGAATACCTTCCATGTTGATGTCTTGAAAGGCAATGAATTACAAAAGAACCAACTACATTGAGATCTGCTCCCTAAAATATAAGAAACCTCTGTGGGCAAGGAATGGAGACTTCTTTATTAGGATACACTGAGATACATGGGTGGATAGAGTCCCTACCACACAGCCAAATGATAAATACAAGCATCAATTACAACACACCCACAGGATGATGGGAAATGGCTGGGATTTGGAGAGTGATCAGGTTACAAGTTCTGCTAAGCTTATGTCCTTATCTGAAGGCACTGTTGAACCTTTGGCTAACCAGTTTCCCCAAGCTACTTATGACTTCCTGCATTCTACCTCCAGAATCTTGATGCGGAGCATGAGAGCCAACTGCTCACCCAGACCAAGCCATCCACTCCAGTAACAACAAAAAATAAGCTGTTTGTGGCCCCTTGAATATGTGAGCTAGGCTCTGAAACTAGGACATGGAGAAGGCAAAGCTCAACACTAGTGGATGCTGGAGACAGGGAGAAGGGAATGGCAGAGACAGTTCACCAATGACAAGGTGAGCTCTTCTATAGAAGTGGCACCTCCCATCAGAGAACAGTGGTCCGAGCACCAAAGGGGTGTGGCTATGAGATTTCAGGATGCGAACTCTTAAGTCAGTGCTTGAAGACTCTGCTTTGGGGGGCAAACTTGGGGAGCTGGGGAAGAACGAAAAGAGCAGCAGGTAGATAGGCTTTGGGGGGGCAGAAGAAATGAAGAAATGCTCCTTGCGTGAGACTCCAGGAAGGGATTACTTAAGATCATTTATTCTTTCAGCCAGAAGGTGGCAGAAACTCAGCAGTCTCTGGGAGGAACCAGACCGTGGTGGAGATCAAATAATACATGACGTGCACAAAGTCCTTGATAGGTGCTGGGAATTCTTATACATCACTAAACAACAAGCTAGTCACTAGCTTATGGAATGTTTCCTAGACTGTTGGTCACTGTGTCGTTTACTGTGTGTCACCTAGCATCTTCTGGCCCTCTTCTCCCGTTCCTGTCTTCATTAAGGTGGATTTCCCGGCACGGTCTTCCTGGTTTCCTTCAACTCTCCATTGCTCTAATGACACAAATGAAGACATGTTTTTAGTCTCTTTCCTATTTGATGTTTCTCCTTTTCCTTAAAAAAAAAAAAAAAAAAAAAAAGAGGCAAATCTTTTCTCCTTCTCTTTCTTCTCTTCTTCAGCATCAATCTCTTCATTTCCTTAGACAGGGATTGCAAATTGCTTATCCTTGAGTGTATGTGCATGTGTTTGTGTGCACTTGTGTGTGCTGATGTATGTCACATGTATGTGGAAGTCAGAGGTCAATCCTGGGGGTATAGGTATTGATCCATGGTACACATGTGGAGGCCAGAAGGTTCTCCTTCTACCTTATATGGGCTTCAGGGACTAAGCCTGGTCCATCAGGCTTGTGTGACAAGCACTTTACTGTCTGAGCCATCCCAGGTCCCATTCAAGCTTACTGTTTTCAACACAGGTCTTCCTCTGGGCCTGGTGTTTGCTCATTCAGCTACAGTAACTGTCTAGGCAACACTAGGGATGCTCCTGTTTCCATCTCTAGAGGGTTACAGGAGGGTGCCACTGCACCCAGTTTTTACTGTGAATACTGAGGCTACAACTCATGCTCTCATGCATGTGCAGCCAGCACCTAACTGACTGAACCATTGCACTTCCCTTGCCTCTGTGGTGCTTCTTAAATGAGCTATCTCATGTCCCCTGCCTCTGTGGTGCTTCTTCAATGGCCCACAGCCATTACACGTAGCACTCTGATTGTACAGACTTCTCAGTCTCTCCCTGGGATGCCGCTCCTCCCGATGAGGTCCTGCTCCTCTGGCCCAGCCACCACGATGATTTGACTACATCTTGCTATGAACCACTAGGAACCATGACTGTTGAGTTCTAACCCCTCACCCTGCAGACCTTGCAAAAGATAAAGAAGAACAAACAGGAAACCCAGGAGACCAAGAGAGAAGATGGGCCTGGAGTCTTCACCTGAAAAGGACACAAGGTGCCCCAGGGACCCCATTTCCACCTCTACCCACCTCAACGTTCCTCAGTCTTGTCTTCTAAACAGTCACCACCATGATCAAATCCATCAGACTGCTGCTGGACAGCCATTCACTGTCCTGTCGGGCTGGTTAGGCTGCCGAGAGGCCTTGAACTGGCCCAATCACAATACAGGCTGATTACAAACATTCCTCTCAAATGTTTTGAATACGCAGCTAATACACTCTTAGCTGGAGAATTATTTTGCCCATAAATTATTTCAGATTTTAATTTTCCCCCTTTCTGGTTATGTTGCCTCCCTCCACTGACTTTCTCATTTCAGGGGAAGTTCATAATTCTTTCTAAGTTTCTCTCACCCTGTGCTGGTGACATCTATTTCTGGGTGGAAATCAAGCTACAGAAATGTCTTTCAGTGATAATAATCTGAAAATAAAGAACCATTTCACATACGAAATGGCAGAGACCTTTTTACCTTCTTTAAAATTCCCAGTAAAGAGGCAGCAGCAGCCCCTGATAAAATATTTGCCTACAGGAGAGGCTCTCATGGGGCAGTAGACCAAGGGCAGGGTCCTCACAGAAGGGGAATTCCTCAGAGCATAGGTTCTTAGAAGAGAAAGCAGATTCAGATCAGTGTTATTGTATCATGGGGGGGGTGCTTACAGCAGGGGGCTCATGGAGGCAGATTTGGAGCAGCATTCTCATGGGAAAAACCAGGCTCAGAGCTACAATTCTTCATTTACATTTTTTTAAGTATGTATAACCGGTTAGTCAGGCATACCAGGGTATACGTGCAGGTCAAAGGACAATGTTTGGGAGCTGATTCTCTCCTTCCATTACATGGGTTCTGGAGATCAAACTCAGGTCATCAGGCTTGGTGGCAAACACCTTTACCTATTAAGCCACCTCAGCTGCTCTTAGAGCAGGGGTTTTCTCGTGTCTCTCAGGTGCTGAGTACATTCACGGCAGAGGATCTATCTCACGGGAAGAGGCATTCTGACAGGTCTCAAGGGGCTGCAGGCACACTAGGAACTACCCACCCACAGAACCTGTGCCAGGTTTCTCTAGCACGGTTTTGACTTTTCAAACTCTTCAGGTTGTTCTGTGCCCACCTTAGAGAAAAATCAGAGGAATTCAGCCCATCCCCAGGCTGAATGACCACCAACTGCAGTCTACCTTGTATGTATGTACACATGCACTCCAAGGCTTTGCAGTCAGTCCCTGAGAGACGTTTAAATGGAAAATGCGAACATTTTATTTCAAACTTAGGCTGTCATTTGTGAGCTTGTTTCCATTAAAAACTGCTTTCAAGTAAACAGAGACACGGCTCCTGGGAGTGGAACCACCACAGTGTGTCTTCTGATATTCAGATTTCTCGTGTTAAATATACAATATGGCTGATTTTTAAATATGGAGACATCTACATGTTGTCTCCTGAATAAATCCCACATTCATCCCAGTTGGTTGGGGGTGGGGTTCATGTTTCAAAGTAAATCCCTAAGGGACAACATTTAAACCAGAAAGACTTAGAAAATGGACTGTCACCTAATGTCCTAAATTAAAGTTTAACTGTTTTTTTGTTTTTGTTTTTTCAGGAAGCCTGAATCGGTTCGGTTCTAAGAGAAAAGCTTTGGCCTTTTACATGTCATCTACAAAAAGCAGCTGATCCTCGAGACAGAGGACAAGCACACAGTACTGGAATCAATGTCCTCTTCAGGTTCCCTGGGCACTTCTTGGCTGAGGCCCAACCCAGGCCATAGCTTCTGAGCCAGTCCTGACCTTCCTCAAAGGTTAGAGGTTCTTAGAGCTGACACAACCTCTCTCAAATGCTGCTTCTTCGCACTTAGGGGAAGGCTGCCAACACACACACACCAGAAAAAGCTGGCTTTGTGGCTCTGAAGTTCAGTATAGTATTTAGGAACAAACCACTTTGATTTCATTAAATTTTCTATATACTTTCTCCTGGAGAGGAACAGGTACTTCAGAGAACATGGCTTCCATTCATCCTGTTGCATGCAGTGTTCTGGCACATGACTTAAAAACATCTTGAATGCAAATATTTACAAGACCAGCCTGTTTTCAATCAACAGTACCATTAATTATGTTAGTCAGATGGCTCAGCTGTCAACTAAATGTGTTAATTGTGTGGAAGTTAGCTCTGTAAACTAGCTTCCCCATACACTCTTTGTGGCTGCGTTCAGTGGCATACTGCTCTTTATGTGTGCTTGTTTTTTTTACATTTAGCTGCAATTAAGAGAAATTCGCTGATGAGAAAATTTAGCATGTCCAGTCACTATTGACTCTATGAGTACAATACGGTCTTACCTCACACTTACAGGATGAATACACAATGGCAGTGCTGTTTACTGAGCTACTATTTCTGCCCCTGCATCACATGTCACTGTCTATCTTTTTTTTTTTTTTAAACTGGCAATCTTCTTATTCCATCCGACAAAACTAGAGATGAAGGCCTATCTCTCACTATTACCTTACAATGACCTGAGTTTGGCAAGCTCTAATGATCTGTGAAAGGGTCAGAGCTACCAAATCCCATTCTAAAACTCCGACTGGTCTTTATACCCAGCACCCATGACCTTCCAACGAGCCCCAGGGTCAAGGCTCACGTCAAGACCATGTATTTTGATCTTTCAGTAAGGCTCTCACCTCTAAATATAGCAATGCGTTGCTTTGTTGAACTCAGCTGCTCTCCACCTACTGAACTTGAGCCATTCTCAAGACTCCTGGGCTACACTCTGGCCTGCCTCTTGTCAGAGCACCAACCAGGAGTGAAGCACTCATATGGGATATATCCTCTCTCACTTTGTGCTAGCCTAGATGCTTGGAGCTACTGAATCCAAACAGCACTCGGTAAGGAGAATCTGTTTTGGTTTGTCTCTGTGGTCTCAGGCCAGGCGAGGCCTGATCATTTGAAACCCTCCATCTGAATGAGTTTTGGGAAAGATTTGTCTTTAAAGCCAAAGCTCCACATGAGCAGAGCCCCAGAGGAGCCAGGATGCCAGACACAAGACATTGTATTTCTGGTGAAGGGCTTGCAGCATACTAAGACACTAGCACGGCATTAAATTTCACCAACTTCAGTGACAGAGTGACCCGGAGTGCTGCTGCCATGCTCTCTCTGGAAGAAGTTTCCCTTAGGAGCTGGGAATGTTTCCCATATTTTGGGAGTTGTATCCTGCTGGTTTTCTGATGCGTTCCATGGGACTGACCTGCCAGGGCTCCAGGCTGCCTGCTGCACCTCTCGAATCCGACCACTGCGCCTTTACTGAAGAATCAAGGTAACAGAGGCTGTAGAACAATATTTACAATGTCGAAAGTTTGCTTCGTTCAGAAACCGGCTAAAGGGCTTTAGATGCTGGCTGTTCAGTTTACTCTTCTGATTGCTTTGCCGCTATGTAAATCAATTTGTTAATGTTCCTTACAAAATGCATGAGCCAGTTATACTGACAAACACACAAAGCTCATTCGTAATTAGCAGTTAATTAGTAAGAAGGAACAGATGCTGCTGGAGCTTCAGCAGGCGAACAGGTTCTGTAAACAATGCTTATAAATCTAAATGAATTTATTAACCACAATACGACTGTCAACATTTTTTTGGCAACCATACAAAATATGGCGGAATCCCCAAAATGTCTTTACAACATATTAATAATCGTGGTGACAGCCGAGCCACTCCAGCCAGTGGTGAGCTGTTCTCAACCGCCGTCTTTGCCTCACTGAGAGGCAGCAGAAGCATCATTACTTCCCACCTTAATCTATACATGCTGATTAACACGCGGCGTGAACGGCATTCAGCTCGACATGAGCTCTTGCTGCAATGGAGGCAAGATCTCATTTGCAAGTGTGCAGTAGAGGGCTGCACGTAACATACTGAGGGTACTCTTGAAACCCATTGTCTGGGGAGAGGCAAAGGTGTGCCCATCTCCTGAAAAGGTCACCTGAGTTAACAAGTAGACAAGGTGCTAGGAGGAACCCATCTATGGGCAGGGGGTATTCTTACCCAACATAAACCAGAAAGGTTTCAAAGCAGAGAGAGGCAGAAATGATGTTTATAAGACAGATAATAGGTAGATGAAGATAATGGGTGGTTTCTGCAAGCCTAGAAGCCAGCCCACAGAAGCTATTACACAGCATGTCATTACACAGTGTGTGTGCACACCAGGAAATGTGATAGGGCATATGGGAGCTTGTGTGTGTGTGTGTGTGTGTGTGTGTGTGTGTGTGTGTGTGTGTGTGTTGGGAACTGGGTGAGACTCAGGCTAGGGCTCCTGTACCTTTGAAGAGGTCAGGACACTAAGACAAGCAGTGGGAACCACTGGAAGACGTACACTGGTTGTGACTAGACTCTCTTACCATTTTCCGGAAGGTCTGCATTGGTTAATTTTGTTAACTTGATGTGATTTACAGCTTACCTAGGAGTCAAAACTTGAAGAATGTCTGTGAGGCATCTCTTTTTGAAAATTAATTCATTGTTAATTTTGTATGTGTACGTGGCTGAGAGTGCTACGATACATACATAAAAGTCAGGGCAACTTGGTGGCACTGGCTGTTCTAACTTTTCTAGGTTCCAGGGGTTAAAGTCCTGCTTCAAACCAAGAGCTTTTTCCCTGTGGGCTGTTTCCCTGGTCCCAGTGAGGGATTTTCTAGATGAGGTTAATTGAAATGGTAAGACAGGCCCTAACTGTGGTCACCATCCCATGTGCTGAGGTCTTAGGCTGGCCAATAAGAAAGCCAGCATTCATCTCTCTCTGCTTCCTGACTGTGGATATAATGTGACCAGTCTCAAGTTCTTGCTGCCAGGCCTTCAAGGCAAAATGGGCTGTACCCTCAAACCACAAGCCAGGGCAGACCCTACCTAAGTTTTTTTCATCTGAGATTTTGTCACTACGATGAGAACAATACAGTCCCTTGGCCTCATGTGGGTACTTCTTGCAGTGAAACATGCTAGAGTGTGCTGAGGACCCGGAGGTTGCTGTGTGGCTGGGGAGAAGTGAGGAGGAGAGGAGGGGTGTGTGCAGCAGACGGCAGGGAACACAAGGTGACAGTGACTCACCCTGATCTAATTCCTGAAAGTCACTACTGTCCAGTAGTGATGATTACGTAGATTACTCTGGTGATGAATCTGGAATTTTCCTCCAACAGAGTCCGTTCTGCTTGCTCAGAGCTCTGAGAAGGGCTGGGCTGTCCCTGCGGCCCGGAGCCGTGTCCTCCAGCACTGGTAAGAAATGGAGCCTATTCTCTGCACAAGTTCCCAGGAGGTGTGAAGCTTCCCGCCACACTGGCTTTCTCTCCGGCTGCCTGTCTGATTGCAGAGCCTCTCCTCCTTGGGTGACCTTTTATTTAAATGGCATTTTCCTATCCTCTCATTGGGACCTCCTTCCTAATAGTCTGCTAGATGAATAATCGACAAAAATGGAGGCAAACGCCAGCATAGGGCACCCCAAATATGACATTCCAGATAAAATATTTTCTCAAGGCAGGCTCGAATGTGTAGATTAGAGTTATAATTACGAGCTAGGCTGCAGAGAACTAGGGAGACTCTGCCCTTCTGACACACGGTGACTTAGTGTACTCAGCAAGGTTAGGCAGCACTGCCACTTCACACAGCCGGGGAAGGCAGGCAGTTACTGTGCAGGCTGGGTGGAGGAGAGCAGGGAGGTGAATGAAGATCTCCACATTGATAATCTATCCCACGTTTTTGTCTGACCATGCTTTGTCCTTAGGAACTAAAGTCTTGAACCACATATTAGATGGGTTGGAGCAGTCAACAGTTCTCGGTATCTGTAGGTAAGAGTGAAGATGACCTGGGATCTTTCTTTCTCCCACAGAGCTAGCTCTAGGATGGGAGTTCAACTAACTACAGCTGAAGCCAGGCAAGCGGAAGTCACCATGAGCATGCGTCTAGCCTGCATGCTCTACCACACTCAGCCTACCAAGCTGGAGGGAGAGCTGAAAACGTAAAGGTGGAGCCATAGTTATGACCATGGGACTTTCAAACTGTGAGCCCCAGACAACAAGCAGGCTGGACAATCATGGCTGCAGGTAGCATTTACACAAAAAGGCAGGGCAGCTGATTGAGGACAGGGGACACTAAACTAATAGCCCATAGGAGAGCCATGAGAACATAGGTAGAGAAATGCACAGGATGTAACTGGTGTGCCTTGCTGGGTGTCCCACTTACAAGTGCATTTAGATGTACGCTACTGTTCATTCACTGTTTCAGGAACCAAAACCTCATGCCTGGAACAGCACTTAACTATGGTGTAGAAGCCAGAAGATCAGGGACCTCGGGGAGCAGCCAGGGGAGCAGCAGGAAGTGCTTTGAGCAGAATCTAGGTTTGATAGAAAATGAACAGACCCTTGGTGTTCCCTCAGTGCTGATACATGGGTCACCCAGCACCCAGAAGCCTGCTTGCCAGCCCACTCTGTCAATAGTTTGGAAACTATTCCAAAGCCACCTACCATGAGGCCACCCAGTCATTCTTGTAACCTACCCATCAGCTGTCCCAGGTGTCATCTCTTCATCATGCAGTCTCAGAGCCGAGCCCCTGGTAGCTGTCAGTCAATGACAGAGTGTGGGGCAGGTGCTGGTGCTGTGGCTGTCAGTCATTGACAGAGTGTGGGGCAGGTGCTGGTGCTGTGGCTGTCAGCTGCCCTTTGCCCAGGAAGAGGAGGAAACTTATCTTCTCCTAGAATCTCTTCTACCTCTTCCTGTTCATAATACTTACCCACTCAGCCACAGTATTTTTACAGACGACCACCTGCTTTCCTGTCCACAGGCTGTGCCCCTCCCTGGGGCTCAGCAGAGCCTGGTGTGCACATGCTCACTCCAGTCAGCAAAAATGGAAGTCAGTATACTCTGTTTACTGCTAATTACAGAGATCAGCACTGACTGAGGACAAGTAGCATGGTTATATATGATGAATGTTACACATTCCTGAATGCTCATCACCCAGAGTTAACTTTAAACACCTGTAATATGTAATTTATAACATGTGTCACCCATCCTGAGGTCCTGGGCAATTCAATCAAGAGTTGAGGAAGCACTCACAAAGTTTTAAAACATCATAAAAATGGCTGCCATTGACTCCTCCACTAAACAGTAAGGAAAGTGGTGATAAAATATTACAGACCAAACTGAACAGGCCTGAGACCAGAATGAAAGGGGACATCAGTAGATGTCCATGTGGAGGGACACTGGGCAGTGAGAATGAACCGAGCAGCCACAGACCAGGGGAGGCACTTACAGATGACACAGCCATGAGAACATATCATCTAAAACATACCACAGACAATGAGAATCAGTAGCAAAGCCAACAACTCAAGTTACAAATGAGCACCAGACTGGAACAGAGACCCCACCAAACAGCATGCAAAGGCAGGGAAGCAGGCCTTGAGCATTCAGCATCCTACGCCACTGGGAACTGACAGATGTAACAAGGAAACACAGCTGTGCAGCCAAGAGACCTGCCAGGTCTGAACCTGACAAGAGCTGATGAGCCAGCCGGACAACAGGAGTCTGTGCCTTTGGGGAGAAAACACAGGACAGTGTGGCCACTCTGGAACAGTTTAACAGTTTCTTACAAAACTGAAAATCCTTCCCATACAACCTGGCAGTCAGGCTCCTTGGTAGTCACGCAGATGTGGTAAGAATGTAAGTCCACAGAAAACCCAGGATGTAAATGCTGGAAATATGCCTTAATCATCATTGTCCAAATGTAGAACTCTAGAGGCCCTTCCACAAGGCACATGGACACTTGTGGCAGACTCTGACTACAGTGTGTTATAAGCACTAAGAAGAAAAAGCACACGGTCTCTCCAACCATGGGAAGAGGTGAAAGAACTTTTAAGTGTGTGTGAGTGAATGCCATATATCCTAGATTAATTTCTGAGGGTGTGATTAAATGCTCTGAGAAAAAGCAACTCAGTGGACAAATGGGTTTATTTTGGATCACAATTCCAGGTTCCAGTCCACCACTGTGAGGAAGTCAAGACAAGAATATCAAGTAGCTACCCATATTAAATCTCGTCAAGAGCAGAGAGAAACAAATCTTTCATGCTCTCTTGCTTGCTTATGTGAATGCGTCCAGTTCCATTTTCCCACTCATGATTGCCTACCTAGGGAATGATGTCACCCACAATGGGCAGAGTCTTCCTACACCAATTAACTTAAGACAGTCCCTCATATACATGCCCACAGGCCAACCCAGTTTATACAATCCCTCACTAAAACTCTTCCCACTTGTTCAGGTTGTGTCAGTTGAAAATGAAAGCTAACCAGCATACCATCTTAAAAGGGTACTATAAGATTCCAAGTATATGATATTACGTTTTGCAAAAGGCAGCATTATCTGAACAGTAAAATGACCAGTAGTGCCTGAGAATGGAGGAGACAGGACTGAAGACGTAGAAAGGTTCCAGAACTTTTGAGGCATACCACACATTGTAATTACTTGGAATGATAATATAGTGGTAGTATATACTCTTGGTATATGTTTGTCCAAACTTATACAATGCACAATACCAGGAGTCCGCTCTCATGTGAATTAGAGTCTGGACAATGGTGGGTCTTGTGTAACTACAATTAGTATGAAATGCATCTTCAAGTGGGGTCTTGGTACTTGGAACCCTGTGTGTATATTCTCTGAATCTTCCCACCATTAAGACATGTTGGGAGATACTCCCTAGGACAATGGTGACAGACCTGGGGCTGGAACTTCCTAGACTTGCCCAAAGAATCCTGCATCCTCCAAGATCACTTCTCTCAGAGAAAGTTCTGAGCCCACAGAGCCCCAGGGGATCCCACACTGTATTCTTGAGCCCATGATGGCTTCCTCCCTTCAAAACCTGCTGTTTGTCCAGGACAGGAAAGGACAAGCTTTATCTGAAGCTTTCTGGGCTACCAGTCAGCTAACAGAATAACGTTATGGAAGGAAAGCAGCAAACCATTCAGTTCCAAGCCTTCCTGCACTAGGCTTGCTTTGACCTGGAGTGGGACAGTGTCACTGTTGACAGACACAAGAGACTCTTGGAAATTACCACAGAGTAAGGAAAACCTCAGCCTGGTAAATATTTAAGTGGCCCTTTAAATATAACAGTCTTACTGATAAGTACATTGATGAATAAAGGCAGCCATGATGATTTCAGGTCAGCCCACCTACTGTCATGGAGACTCCTATATATAGCCAAGTTCTTCTACATCTATAGTGGTTCTAACCCATCTGTGTCCATGTTCTTTCTTTGTCTCAATCCCAACAGCTCTCCACTGGACCCTGTAGATGGTCCCCAACCTAAAACAGCTCAAATCAATGTATTCAGTTCTATTCTAGAATAGACATGGTACACGCTCAATAGAAATAGCACCTTGAGAGCTTGTTCATAGAGTTTGCAGCAGGGGTCACAGTTATTGGTAAGTCCTTGTCCAAGAAGGGTTTCCTAATACGGAGGAAGACTGTCTCTTCAATCAAGGATGCAGTTTGGAGAAGAACACACATATAGTGTGGAAGGAGCAGGGAGATACCCATCTAGACAGCCAGATAGACAAATCAATCCTGTCCATCAATCTGGTGACAAACATTGTAGTTACAGAGACCTCACATCCAGATCACTAGTCTGAAATTTTAATTTGGCATTTTTCCTGGGCTAGGGATGAGGTCTCACTTGTCTTGGGACACTGGGCAATATGTGACCACAGGCCCCATTAGACCCACGATCAAAACAGCAGCTGCCACCCCCAATCTGCCATACAGGGTACCCTTGGGCTAGAGGCATTGAGTGCATTTCTGACTCTCAGTAGTTTCAATATACAATTGCTATCCAGCTTCACTGTGAAGTAGGGAGCCCTCTGCAGCTCAGGAAGTCTACATGTGCTTATTCTTGAGCTTGGCTAACATATCATGGCGCCTCCATTCAGAAGACACATTTGCTCTTGCAGACAGGAGTGACATTGCTGCCCACCATACTCAAGGCGGCAGAAATAAGACTTCAACAGAGGCCACATGCTACAGGTACCTGCAGAAAGTGACAAGCCTCACCACCAAGGCCAGGGCGGCTGGGCTGACTTCTGTGGATTCCAGTAATTACAGGCTCTGCCTGCCTGCAGCCCATCATAGACCAAACAAGGGCTGAGTCACTGGAAAAGTCCTGGTGGCATCCTACCTCCAACCACCCAGAGTTTGGCTGCAGAAAGGCTACAGGAATGTAAGAGGACTTATCTCTGATCAGACCCTGTGCCAGGCTGGAAGGCACGATGTAAGGTAATGATACCTGGTCCTTAACGGTGAGGATCAAAAATCTTGTGGGGAGGTGGAAATGAGGGTGGGGTCTGGGTCTAGGAGGGGGGTGGGACACTTTGATCTTCTCAGACTGTAAAGCAGTCTCAGGTCTGTGGGATCTACAAACACCAGAGGTAGCAGAAGTCAACTCCCATGTCTCAGAATGTAGCTTATGTCCTGTCTCCTTGGAAACCTCTAAGCATTTTCTGCAAACCTTCCAGAACACACACAACCTGGTTTCCCACTGAAAGCTTAAGGGACAGCACTGCCAATCCCAAGCTCTGTGGCTCTGAGAGTGCAGCCAATCCTTACTTCATAAGACTGCTGTGAGAACAGATTCCCCTGCCCTAGGTTAAGTATGAGGTCTGCCCTGGGAGCTCTGGATAGACAGTGACAAAGGACTACTACTGGACTCTTGACCTCAAAGTCTGCATACTGGGACGGGGGCTGGCACGGCCCCAGAACACGTTAGCAACATAGATCGGCTAGTTCTGTTCTGGGAACTCCGTCACTGCCAGTGCTCAAACACCCATTTCCCAGAAGCCCGAGAACAACTAGCAAATACTCATCCGCAGGAATCTAAAGGTCAAGATCACTCTCAACATTCATCTTCCTTTGAAGGATTTGTAATAATAATTCTATCAGACTACCTTTCTGTACAAAGGCACCACTTCAGCAGATTGTTCAATAGTCTCAGTAAGGCCTCTAGAAAGTTCACTGCCACACGGAAACCTGGCAGGCTTACTGTTTTGGATCACGAGAAGCTTCTCTCAGCAGGTCCTTCCTTTGTGATAAACCTTGACGTGGAGCTTAGGGCACAGGACATGATTCAGGACGATACCCATCATGTACAGTTCAGAGCACATGCAGGCAGGGGTCCATGTCCATGCCCTCTCTCCTGCCTTCAGGAACCATGTATGACAAAGTAATATACGACCCTCACACATTAAGAACTTTTAAAAGTCATTGATAAGGTACATTAATGTATCAAAATGTCACCTATTCGGTGTGAGCCATTAAAAATTATTAGTACAAGTATTAGGAAAAATAGTCATTAGAGTGTAGGAATATCTGGAGAAATACCAAGCAGACACAGCTATCACCTTGGAGGTGCCCTGACAGTCCTTGTCTTCTATGTCAGACCTTCAGCCAAAGCCCTGAATCCCAGCATGCATGTGACGATGGGTCTTGGTGGAGAACCAAATTCACGGAAGCCCTTAAAAAAATAGTTAGCAATCCCAGGGGAAATACTAGAAATTATCTTAAAGCCTGAGATGCTTACAGAAGGCAAAAGTCCTATTTGTAACATCTGATGTTTACAACTGTGTCTTTCCAATCTGAAAACCAATGTGTTTCCTCTCCTCTGCAATTTGGGAAGCAGTGCGAGCCATGATTATCAGCAGCCCAGGGTTGGACATGTTCCTTGCTTCTTGCATCCCTCAGGTCCAAGTTGGACTTCCTGCTGAACTCTCTTATTAAGTGGAGAGCCTTCGGTGTTATCTGAAAACTGAGGGCAGTTGATCAAATGTATGGGAGTCAGCAGAACCAGGAAGGAAGGTGATAAAGCCATTGCTTTGGTGGGTGCTGGTAAAACAATGGGATGAATTTAGGTAACTGTGCAGCAACTTCCGGCAAGTGCAGCATAGTTAAGCCTGTGGGGAAACGGTGATGAGGACATTTGAGGGTTTGGGGAAACAGAGCAAGACAAATAGCTCCCCTTTCTTTCATGACCGACACCAAAATTCTAGCACCTCTGAGTGGCAGAGGCTGTATCCACTGTAGGACCAACAGGACACATGTTAGTGAGGAATGTTTCAGCAGCCATGGGCTTCTCATCAGAGGGCTGGGTGCTATGGGAATCTAACTCTCCAAGCTACCTCTATCCCTGAGACCAGCTGACATGGTAAAGGTCTTCAGATTAAGTATTACATTGCATTGTTTACACTGACCAAGGCACAAATATATCTACCAGATGAACAAGAGAGTAACTGTGCCAAATTAATCCTACCCACAGCTTTATTCTAAAAGACAAATTGATTTGATAAATGTAAACACTGGCTGTTGTTCTGACCTGAAAATGAAGTATCTTGTGGCCTGGGGATGTGTGTACCTCAATGGCAGAGGGCTTGTCTAGCAGGCACAAGGCCCTGAGTTCAAACTCCAGTACTGGGACAAACAGTATCTGTTTGATTACATACACAGGTGGCACAGGGCAGTAAAATACCCAACTCGGTAGTTTAAAACAAGTGGAATCATGTTTTCCAAGTAGTTTCTCAGATTGCTTATCGGGTCATGTGTGTAGCAGCCCACAAGATGCCAAGAATGTCTTTTGCTAAAGGACAGTCCTGTCTTTCACAGAAGAGGCACCAACATGTGTCTAAATCTCAATGTCCTTTCCTTTGAGCCTCTAGGCAGGGAGGCAAAGAGACCTAGGCCTCGGGGCTAGCAAGCCATCTCTGACCAGCCCAGGCTCCCCTGGGTGTTTCTTTTATGAATGCTCAATTTCAGTGTAGGTAAACAAGCCTCACTGTCCTCCGAAATCATTTCCAATAGCAATTTGCACTCTCCTACAAATGGTCTTATGTGTGGTTATTCTTGTTGAATTGCAGACGATAAAGAGTTCTACGAATCAGGTTTACCGAGTCTTCCCTACTGTTGAGAAAACAGGAGAGATCCATTAGGGAAGAGGTGGGAGGGGCCTGTAATCTGGGACATAAAAACCATGCTGTTCTTCTGCAGGAATTGGTCCATCTCAAAGGCACAGGCCACCTCCGAGAGAGCACCTAAAACCACAAGCAGCCCAGAAAGACAAGCTGCAGCCGAGACAGGTGCATTTGGGTATTGCAGGTATGAATGGATGCAGTAAGATGGAAGGGCATTATCTAATCTAAGTGTGAAAAATATTTTTATTGCTCTGGGAATAGTCACTGTTAACTGAATGCAACAACAAAAAGGGGGGAAAAGAGCATGTGGGCCCGAGGGGATTACCAAATCAATTAACAAGTAATTCAGGAACTAATTTCTATATTGCCTCTTAGCACAAAATTGTATCTTTAATTTCTCCTGCAATAAGCATCCCTGTGATGGTGCTAGCACACAGTGCCGCTGTAAATGAGTTTACAAGTATCTCTTTTTGATTGGCTATACAGCATTATTTCTCCACAGTTCAATGCTACTGCAGCCAAGTGCTCTGAAATATTTAATTACGCTGGTAGCTACCGGTTACCAATTTGCAAGACCCACAGTGAGTACAGTACATTTTAGAAAACTAGTAATCAGCTAATTAAAACCACAGCGAATTTCCAGCTACTCCAATTACCAACAACGGCTGCTGGATACACTCAGAGGGTTTTGCTTTAGGGGAAGGAGGTCTTCAAGACTAGCTATACCCTGGAACATGGATGCCATGAAGCTAAGACTGCTCCTTACACACTCTATGTTCAGTCTTTCCACAGCTGTTCTGGGTACCATTCTGTATCTAGGGCTTTAATGAACAGTAACTGGTGAAGTGGCTTTAGCACGTCTGGAGAGTAAGCAAACTGGGTTTGAATCCCACAAGGTGAAATTTGGCTTTCTCATGTGTTAAATCTATGGGCGAATGTCATGCCACCTGAGGGCTGCTGAGAGGATGGAGAAGCTTGCTAGATAAACACACACAGAGAAGAGGGTTGGGAGAACCAAGTCTTCTCATGCTTCCTATTTACTTCCTTTTTCAACCTGTAGGAGGTTTAAGAATGGCCAGCCACAATGCTAACAAAACCTGGCTTGTGACAGGCCACACTGTTTATATATGTCCTTAGATGAACAGGAGACAGAGAATCAGCCCATGGTATTTTCAGTAGACAGAGCTCTGAAAATGGTCCTATAAGGACGAGAGCCTAATCTGCTCTGCTATGAGAACTTTGGTCAGTCTACCCTTCCTGGAGCTCAGTTTCCCTAAATGTAAAGTGAATAACTTCTCCAGTTTCAAAAGCAGCTATTACTGTTTTAGGATTTACAGCTTGCTTGCCCTGGGGTGTCTTAAAAATATCCTCATGTATCTTTTGAGGACAGGCTCTGTGTGTCCCCTGCTAGAAACATGCCCACAGTCAGCTCTTTAAGAGCTATCAGACGGTCCAAGATGGCTGAGCGATGTTCCTGACACTGAATCAAGACCGTGAACGGCAGGAAAGACTGGAGAACTGTCTGAAGTACCATCGCTGAGGTGCACACAGCAACGGTCTGGGAAGAGGGATCAAATCCTAGGTTAGATTATGGGGTCAAAGGTGACCAGGTCCCTAGATCCCTAACATCACATTGGTTTTGAAAGCTGTGAGAGAGGTTTGCAAAATGCTCGCGCTGGAGGAAGCGAGGATGACAGGACTCCCAGTGAGCACTCTTCCCAGTGTTCTAAGAGGCAGAGTATTTCCAACTAAAAGGTCAAGTTTTTAACATTAATTCCACCTCAGGTCAACCTCTGTGTTCTCCTAAACTCCAGTACCTATCATTTTATACTGTAACTCTTACAAACAACTTATCGTTTTCATTTTAAATTTCTTACTACACAGTTGTCCTATCTCCAAGGAGGCTCCAAAGCAGCCTGAATGGCTTTCCCTTCTTTCTTCAGACTCTTACTGTAAGCGTGCTTGCCACGCTCTGTCCTTCCTACCTCTGTCTCCTGCCATGTGACTGGCCGTCCACCATGCCTGTCCTCCACGCCACCTCCAACAACATGGCTTTTAGTCTTCTCCATTCTTCTTTGGGCAGCCGCTGAAATTTACAGCTTGCTTGCCCTGGGGTGTCTTAAAAATATCCTCACGTACCTTTTGAGTTCATTCTTAAATTCTTTTATTAATGAGACTAACCCCAAGAGGGGACCCGGATTTCTTCAATATCATCTGGTGTGCCAGATGGGACTCCCCCAAATTCCGGTAACAGTATCAGAAACATCTTGACTTGTGTATTTTTCAGTATCTGCCCTGATATTTATAAACTTTAAGCAATTTTCTATAGAGCAACAAAGTCAGTGGTGGAGACTGAATATTTGTGTAACATCCTGCAATGAGGCCACAGGCCAGTGTCATGTTTAAAAGTTCCTTCTAAGCAAAATGATGAGCGTGAAGACATTTATTTAGAGACAATTTTTCCAAATGAGTTCTAAGAAGTAGGAAAGGCTGAAAGAAACCAGTTGTTTGAGATGATTTCTGGGCCACTGACAAAGGCTTTTATGCTTTGAAAAATAGATAGAGAACGGCCACTTGTGCAATCCAAATATAGCACCTTATATACATGAAACAGAGTTAAATATAGAGGATGATGGGTTAAAAATTAGACCGTTTCTAAAGAGTAACAATGCACAGCACAGCCTTTTCAAGGTTAACATATCCTTTGACAAGGATTTAAAATTCATCTGAGGGAAGAAAAAAACATTTACACCACCAACTTACACACTTTCACCACTACCATCATGGCTGTCACCTCCACACTCTAACACCACCACCACCACTGCCACCGCCACCACCGCCACCACCACCACCACCACCACCACCACCACCGCCAGCTGCACCCTGACTAAAACCACTCCCATCACCATTGCTACCACCTGTGCCATCACTACTAAAGTCAGTAAGACTATTTCCAAGGGTCTGGTGTGATGTGAGAGGACTCCAAGATGAGAACTGCTTAGTGCTTCCATTTTCCCTAGTCTACAAACAATTTTGATACTTGGGACTTCAAAGGAAATGAAGAAACCTAAGAAAAATATTTCTCAATCTCTTCCATGTCCGTTTTAAACCCCACCAACCTTCTCTCTATATAGTTACAGCTGTCAGTATTGGCATCAAGGGAAACCGGTGTCCTTGGCTTTAAAATGTGGCCATTAGGGACTCAGTTAAAAATAAATTCTCTCCCTGAGATGGAGGACTGGAAAACGTGCTTTTGCTCCAACCTGATAAAATGTCACTGTGTGATGCCTTTCTGGAAAAGCCCAGGATGGATACTACTGAGGACTTCTTCAGATGTCCCCTTCTCAGTGGAACAGGTCCATGGGGCAATCCTGTCAGGATGAGGACAGCCGAGTGTGGTGGGGCAGTCTACCGAGGATTGCAGGCAGGAGCACTGTGGCCAGCGCGGCCACTGCTGCTGCTTTAATCAGAGAGAGACAGGAGTCAGTATCACAGTGAGGGTGTGATGTCTGCCTGGCAGGTGCTTAATATTTCCACACAACCCTGATATTAGGTATGCATAGAATCCTATTCAAGCATTCCCCAAACTCTTCCATTTTGCAAATGAGGAAATATCAGAGAGTAGTGCAGATACCCCAACCATCTTTGGCGTATCCAGTCTGAGAGCCAAGACATACACCCCAGGAGACTCACAGTTGCTGTTTCCAAACAAGAAGTTTTTGAGACAGATCAGAGGGACCCATTTCGCCTTGAGGCATGGGGACAGGAGATAAGCAGACTGGGTAATGCCGGATGCAATACCTGCCGTTAAATACCTTCTGAACAGAAGTCACAACAAAATGGAAATGTCTTTGTGTGGCTGGGAAGATCAAAAGAATTTTGAGTTCAGTGATTCAAGTTTTACTAAGGCTTTCTTGTAAACTCTTAATTTTTTTTCTGTGAATAATCCAAGGCCTCAGGAATGGGCTAACAGGCTCTTCCCTTAGCATGGCAGCCTTGGATGGCAAGCTGCCAGCTGGTCCAGTGCCCCTGTGTCAGGCTGGATGTTTGAGGAATCTCTCAGTCTGAGGATACCCCAGCATCTACAGAGCACTGTTACAGCCACAGTGGAAGGCACACTGTCATTACGGCCACTAGCCTCAGAATGACTCAGCCTGACCTCTGTTATTCTCATGTATAGAAGGGGAGCACCTCCCCTGATGGCCCAGAAGGTGGCCTTGGTCATACCCACCCTTGGCTACGTAACAAGGCAATTCAGTTCAGCCCTGGTCCTGAGAGGCAGCCTCTTGCACTGAAATACTATGTCCCATAAATGGCTTATCCTGAATGGTCTTTCCTTGAACTGGCAGGTAACAGGGACATCAGGGCCACAAAGTAACAGGACAACAGCCTGTGACAATATGATGCTTAATCTTCTCTGTCAATCTGCCTGGATTTGGAGTCACTCAGGAGACATACCCCTGGGTGAGTATGTAAGAGCACTTCCAAGGAGAAATCCTGCTGAAAAGAAAACCGTCACCCTATGGGTAGGAACCCCACACATAATAAAAACAGAAAGAGGAAGACCAGAGCTGAATGCCAGCCTTTGTCTCTCTTTGCTTGCTGACTGTGGGTACAATGTGACCAGCTAACCCACAGTCCTGCCATGATGGACCACGTTCCAGGACAACCAAAATCAGTGACCCTTCCTCCCCTTAGGTTCCTCTGTGGACATTTCGTCACAGTCACAATGAAAGCAACTAATATCCTTCAGTACTGTCAAGGTCACAGCTCCCCAGCACTCAAGCCCTCTGGACAGAGTAAGAAGGTGGGGGATCCCTGTGACGTTAGGACTAGGGTGAACACTGCTCTGAGAGTAGAAGGCCCCACCCCCACTTTAGGGCACTGAGTTGGTGGCAAAGGATAGGTTCTTTACAACTGAAGAGCTCTGTCTCCCGAGCCATAGCAGAGATGTAGGATGAAGATCCAAAGAAGTGGAAACTGCCCGGAGAAACCAAGGGTAAGGACCGTGCAGCAGAGAGCACTCAGAGTCTTCCTGCTGGGGTGGGGGGTTGGGTTCTCTACACACCTCCTTAGGGTTTTTCTGTCAAGTCTAGACCCACTCAAAATATCAAAACCACGGGTTAAGTTAGAAGCCCATGGCTTCTAAAAAGCAGAGGACAGAAATTGTTAGGAGCTTTGCACAACTTCCTCCAAGCAAGGACACCACAGGCAAAACAGAGCCCGGCCCGTGGGGACCCTGCACTAACAAGATAGGGTCTTTGCTGGGACCTGATTTCAACAGCAAAGCAACGTTGGCATGGCAGACTCACAGGATGGAGCTCTGAGTCTATCTACCTGCAGCTGGCCTGCATGCAGACTGAAGGAAAAAACCTCCAACAGAAGCCGGTTACGCAGAAGCAATGTTTTCAAGATTGGAATCTCTAAGATTTGTGCCCAGATTTGTTTCTGTTGGAGGATACCAGTGGAATCTACGTTCAGTTATGGAAATGTGACGAGACGCAGTGACTTCATGCCTTCGTGCGTGTGCAAGCGTGTGCACATACTCCTGCCATCTCCGACTCCCAGCATGAGCATTAGGCCCTGGCCAGGAGTTCACAGAAGGGGAGGAGGCCAAGGCTCAGGCCTGTGTATCTGCACTCAAATATAGAGATTAAAAAATGCTAAAGAGAAAGAAGAAAAGAGAGTACACAGCTGCCCCCAAACAGACCTCCCATCTGCCACCCACGATTTGCATGTCACCTTCTCCGGGCTCATTTGTACTTCATTAACTGCCATTGACTTAACAAGATTTATGCAAATGACACCATAGGAGATCCCTAACTCCCACTGCAATCAAGTGATTATGTATGTACAACTTGCCACAGCGATGAAAAATTAATACATGACAAGCCCACTGGCCGCTGAGCTGGGCCGCTGGCTTTTATTTTTCTCACTTTGCTTTTTCAATTCTACCCGAATAGACCTTATCTTATTAGTAAGAAAGGAAACAGGGTTTTCTAAATCCATCCGCTCTAGGTAGCCAGACAGGACAAAAGAAGAGTTGGGCCCAGATCCTGAAGAAATGAAATTAAAGCCTAGGAAACAATTCCTTATTCTGGAGGAACCTTTGATTGGGGGAAGAGAGAAATAAAGTTACAAGTGACGGTGGCTTGGCCACCTACCTGTAACAAGCTAAACAGGAGGAAGGCAGCTCATGCACATGGGCAACCCGTCCAACCATGGGCAACCAGCTCACAGGGTATGAGGACTGGCCCACTCAATTCATAAGTACTCGAACAATTCCCATGGAGGAGCAGAAGTGACCAGAACATCAAGTGTTCAAGGACAGGAGCTTGGATGGTGACTCTCCCCTGAGGCCAAGGGTCCAGAAGCAGGGCTCTTGACTAGTCTCTACCAGAATTCACTGAAGGCCAAGGACTATTGCTTATGAGAGAGGAACACAGACAGGGCTGGGAGTTGCAGATGAACAACAATGCTTTCCCTTAAGGACAGATGCACGTGCCCACAGCATCCCTGAAGACACAGGGATACAGGCACAACCTTAGACATACTCTACACAGTACAAGATACCTTTGTGTGAGGTGAGGGGTCTCACGTTTGATTTAATACAGGTAAAACTTGGGGCTGAAGAAACAGCTTAGTGGTTAAGAGCACTTAACGCTCTTTCAGAGGGCTCAAATTTGGTTTCCTGCACCCACATGTGCTGGCTCGCTACAAGCTGGAACCCTAGTTCCACGAGATCCAATGCCTCCATCTGGCTTCTGTGGGTACTGCATGCACATGGTGCTCATAAAACTCACACAGGCACACACACATAAAAACAATCTTTAAAACTGCAGCTTTGCTTTGGAGGGTTCTTGTCACCCTGTAGTGGAGAAAGCACAGATGTGAGGTGCCTAGTCACCTAGTCCTCAATGCTCACCCCATTTGCATTTAACTTAAGAGCGTCATAACCTAATGGCCTCCACTCTGTAAGGGGTTAAACAAGACTCTACATAGAAAGACACAAGGATAACAAGCTCTCATTTAAATGTTCATTTATTCAAGGAATCCACCTATGGGCTTTCTAGAACATTCTAGGCAGGTACTGCCCCCTTCAGGCTTCGTCCTCTTAATCCTCATGTTTCCATACAGAGGTCACTACAGCAAGGGGTGTAGCTACTCTCAAATGATCCACGTACCTTGAAAGTTTGGGCGCACACAGCATGGAGCACTATAGCTACCCAGACCACCTACAACTGCACCTTACTCCACAGAAAGTGCTGGGTGCCTCTGACGGGTACCTGGAATACCACAGACAAAAGCCTGCAGTCTGGATGGAATGTAAACATCCTCTGCGGAAAGTCTAGGTATTCAAGGCAGACTTTTCCAGGTCTGGACTTGGAACATGAGGCACATGAAGCCTGAGCACCGACTGCAGCAGGGCCACCTGGGGCTGGAGCAGATCAAGTAGGAGTCAGTCCCCAGCTCCTCACTGGGGACACCTAGTGGAGGAATCAAGTGCTCCCCACTCCCAGGTGTCACAAGGAAACCACAATTTACATTTCAACAAGAGTATCACTGAACAAGACAGAAAAGCTCCCCAAGGGATGCAAAGTGCTCATTTTACACTAATCGGTCAATCCAGTCTCTGCACACTCAAAGTTCAGTTTGGGAAGCTAGCCCTGTCCAGAGATGAGCAGGGAACAGATTAAGTGAGGCCCCAGTTACACCAGGGCCTGGACAGCCCACCATGAGTTTCCGGTTGGGATAGTGAGCTTCCCCTCGGGCCAGGAGTGGACAGGAATCGGGAAGATGACGGACAGGAAGTAGCAATCCTCTCCAGTGTCCCAGCTCTAGTTCTTCAAATGGGAAATAGCTAAATAATTTTGTGATTCTACAGGAAACAACACTGCACAGAAATCAAATATACTAAAATGGCTTTATGTAGACTTAGATTATAATAAGTAATCAAAATGAGGAATCAGCTATGTACATGGCCCTCAGAAGTAATGAACCTGTTTACATGGAAAACACCGCCCATCGCCAGGAAGGCTTCTTGCCTTGTTTGTAAACACCTGGAAGGTGAAAATTTTTCTTCATGGTGCTGTGAGCTGGCTCCTAACTTTGTCTCACACAGTATGGCAAAGGTGGTCCTATGCAGAGGCGTAACAGCCTCTGCCGACACCTCTAGGCCCCCTTCCCTGGGGCAAAGGCTCACACGGCACCGTGGGTGAATGTGGCACGTGGGCCACTCTGGCGTGCTGCACAGGGTGGAGTGCAGCAGTCTAAGCTTCTCAGAAATCCCCTGCCGTGGCTCTTCGACTCTCACATCTTCCATCTAAAATGCTCTGGCTCCGCACAAGGGCTGCAGCCATTAGCTGCAAACAGGTGAAACCCGCACCGCTGATGTGCGCCCACTATACTTGTTCCAATACTCTTCCCCTCCCTCGAGGCAACCAGCGCCCATGCGCACAGACCAGGTAAAGCTGGGTGGGAGCTGTGGAAGAAGCGACAGACGCCCTAGATCAACCAGAGCTTCGAATGGGCCACCGGTGTCTTCGGTGGAAAACAGAGCTATGTCCTACACACAGACTTCCCACCCAAACAGAATACAGTCTAAATCAATTGGCTTTCTTTATCAACCAAAAAGATGACATTTCGAGAGCCACCGCGCTGGGTTGAACTCTTTATTCTTATTGTTTCAGAAACGAAGCGGCAAAAGACGTCACACATGAATTCCAGTGTGTCTTGCTAGAGACGTGAAGTAATTTAGGACCTGGTTTCCGGGCTAATGAAAACCCATTTCAGGCTAGCAACATTGGCCAAAACAAATGCTTGAATTCAAGTCCTGTTGTGTAATGGGGAAGTTTAATTAAGGCCCCACATTACAGCTGTAAATGTTCCTGTGTATAATAAGGTCTAAATGAAACTGAACCTAATCAAAGTTACAATCCCTTCATTAGCAAATTACAAACAAGAGCGCACAGCTGACACGCCGGCTAGGATTATTACAACTAATTGCCTCGTTGTTACAGACCGGCCTGAAACAGTGTTCAGATGTCCGTCTGCAAGAGCAAATTAGGGCCACGTCAGGCTATTCCTGTGATCACAAGGGGTTCTTCTACAGCGATCTGATTTACCCCTGTCGCCTGGCGGCCAGCGGCCCAATCAAAGCCACGCTACAAAGGCAGCCTTTGAAGCCAGTGCGGCATGGAAACACACTCCATATGCAGGCGGGCAGACCGCACTTCATTAGAGCTGCTGTCGCATTTCCCTCTTCTTATTCTAATGATCCCATTTTAATACTCACAGGAACCCCTTCTAATTGATGTCAAGTGAGTGACTTCTACATTCATCAACAGAGCACATCAAACAAACCCTGGTGCTCCAGCCAGCAGCATCCCAGGCTGCACAGAGGTGTGTCTCCAGCGAGGCGGGGAAGGGGACAAGTGTACCTGTTTAATTGGGATGGCTCGCCCGCTCCCGATGCTGTCCGCACGGCTCTCCAGGCCTTTCTTCTCTTTGTCTGGGTCGCTCCCTTTCCTAGACTGCAAAGCAAAAAAAGTAAAGTTAGCATTTGGGCGAGGGTTGTGGCTGCCAGACGGGTCTTGCCCCTCTGCACAGAGCTCCTGCCAACAGGATTGAGGACCGCCACCCCTAGCAGTTCATTGGCACTGACTCATCATTCCAAAGAGAATTTTCTAAACTTTCCTCCTGACTTTTCTACTGCAAAATTATCTTTTAATTCTTTTTTAAAGAGTTCAAAATGCAATTACTAGAAACCAATGGACCATCCAGGAAAGCAACGCCCAACAAGAAAACACATTCTAGAGCTGCAGTGAGCATAGCTGAGGAGAGAGGGGCCCCTTGAAGGTTATCTGGAAGCCCCTCTACAGAACTGTATGGATTAAAATTAATGTCTGGATGATTTAAAAAGTCTATTAGCCACGCAGTGGTGTGGCTTACTGGTATACCCCCATGAGTCGTTTTAAGGGGCAAGCAATGTTTCCTTTTATTACTTTTGGCTGGTTAGAAAACTGATTTCAAAGTTAAAGCAGTCTACTGTGCAACGGGAAAATAACAGAGGCAAAAACTGAAAATCTCTTTTTGACAAAATGTCAATATTCGGGGAGCAATGAACGACGGTTTGTTTGCCAGGTTCCTGAACCAATTATCTTGGAAGGACTGTTGACGCTATGTGAACTGCCCAGCGGCTGGCAGGTGTCGGGAGGAGGGCACCTGGGGAAAGCTGCAGGAGCACTAGCCACCATCCACGTCCCCTCTCCTGCTGGCATGAGCAAGTGTAAGCACAGTGATTGTCTGACAGATTTATTTTATTATGAGAGAAAGATCTGAGACTCGTCCTCCTTAATAACAGTGCTGACAAGTGACAACTTCACTCCATTACTTTTCAATGGGAACATTACTCACGCAATATTGAAAATGGAGAAACATTTTCCTGTGCTTTTCAAATCTGAGATGATATATGAAATAGAGAGACCCGGTGGTGTCCGGTGCTGCTGGGAGCAGCTAATGAAATTCAGATTCAAAAGGATGTGGGACGAAGCAGAGGACGCTTCTAAGCAGTATCCAAACAGGCAAGGCTCCGAGATTTAATAAAAGACAGACCTAGTGGGACAGCTTACTGCCAAAATTTAGACAGAAGACCAAGAGGAAGGTGTTTGTGATATCAACTGGACTCCGGCACTTCCAAGGCGCTGACTTTGCCCCGGGGCAGTGCACATGAGGAATCACACTCTTAGCTGACTGCGGGGGCTTCTGCATCCGTCCAGGGCCTCCCTCCTCAGGGCCCCATGCCGTCGCCCTCATCATGGGTCCCAGATATGTCACAGAAGCTCCTTCGATCTTTATTCTTCCGTCACTGAAAATGCACAGCAAGACTGCACACAACTCCCCCACAGGTAGGCTTGTGGGCAGGTAGGCACATGAGGTTTCCAATCAGAAAATCAACTTCCAAAGCTTGTGGATGACAATATTTCAGAGAAATTATAGATCAATGAAGAGCACTAAAGGCATTTTGGTAACTTATCAGTTCTAAATACCTAAATTTGAAATCCATCTTCATTATTCTCCATTAAGCAGAATAATTAACAAAACAAACATTTAAAAAAAATGAACATTTTCCTGGAGGCAGCGCATCTGTCTCTGGTTGCTGTTCTCAGAGCAGAATTCTGGATTCTATAGAAGGAAGCAGCAGCCAGTGTTGTTGTACACAGCTCCAAAAAAGTAAAGAAACAGAAGCTATGTTCCACACAATCACATGCTCAGAGACAAATGAGACAGAAACTCAGGGTACTCACTGGGGAAAAAAAAATCCACAAACAATGATACAATTTTGTGTGGAAAGTGCCATAAAACTAAAGGAAAGCTCTGACAAGCTGCTGGGCAGAAGTGTATAACAGCTAACTCAAGGACAACTAAACCACAACCAATCCAGTAGGTCTGAAACCCTGGGCCTCTGAATCCCTGGGGAGGGCTCCTTGCATTCCTGCCCACATTGAGAGACTTTAGTGGTGTATGTCCTCACCCCCCCCCGAAACGCCCACTGCTGTATCCAGCCTGCTGCATTCCTCAGAACCAGAGTTTAACACACCCACGGAGGGTGGGAGACTTCAGGCCACCACTTCAAGCTTAGAATGACTGCTGAGTACCACAGACACTGAAGACAGAGGGGAGGGAAGGGACAGATTATCTACTTCGTTTAAAAAATGGTTAACTCCCTATATGTGATAAAGTCACAGCCGCAGCCAGTCCCTTGCACACTCAGCAGAGGATCACTGCAAGCATCCCTGCCCATCAAACAGAGTCGGCTCCCTCACTTCCAACCAGTAGGCAGGAGTAGATGGAACACACCACGCCAGGCTTTGGGGCTCCTGTTCTCCGTGAGACACCAAGTGTCAACTCTTTTATACTATGGGTTTCATTGTCCTTTCTTCTCCTGTGAGCGTCTCTGAGTAGGTCCAGGTTCTGTGTAATCTTTGGGTACTGGGAAGCTTAGTTCTGTTTAATGGTATCAGCATCCTACAGCAAGTTTTTATATGGTTTTTAAAATGTCACATAAAGACATAATTTAAAAACTTGAAAAGAGATAAAGCAACACCATACAGAACTTAAGAAGCCTTGCTAGCTTACCACCACCAAATGCAGACAACATGTACTAACCCACCCAGGTAAACAGCAATCCTGGGAGTAAGGCGGGGGGGGGGGGGGGATGGATGGATGAGGTAGTTCAGATTATCACTGAGGATGTCTGTGCTTCATGATGCAGCAGCTACAAACTGCTCAATCTCAGGGTTATCACAGAGAATATAAGTAGTTCTTTTAAAAAATTCTTATATATTTCAAAATATTATTTCACAAAAGATTTCAACAACACGGAAATTGGGCTGCTAAATGAACTGACACCCCCCCCCCCGCGTTTGCATATTTCTAAAGTAGGCACCCAGTGGGTCATCTTCTAATCTTTCATTTCTCAAAGCAATGGCCTTACATAAAAAATTAACAAAATACAATATAATTTAAATTCTCATTGGTAAGGCAAAATTGTCACTGCAAAGTAATGTATGACTTGCTACAACTGGAGTGATTTAGTTCATGTAATTTCATACTAAATGCATGGGATTTATTTAAAATCTGTACGTCTGCAAATAAAAACATTTTGAGAGCTGAAGATCTTATCCCTGTGTGGGACAGAACTACTTTAAAAGACAAGTGTGGACAGGTTAAGCTGTGGGGAGCCTTTGGGGCTGCTTGGCAGGAATCTGACATTGGCCAAGGACAAGGAAATGGGCTTTAGACAAGAATCTGACTTTGGGCCATGATAAGGAAGTAAGTTCAGGCAGGAGTCTATTTTTGGGCTAAAACAGAGAAGTAAATTCAGTCAGGAATCCAAGTCTTTGGCAAAAACAAAGAAGCAAGTCTCAGGCACGAATATGACTGTGGGCTAGGACAGGGAAGTAGGCTCAGCTACTTTGTCATCCAGATGAGCCCTTAGAAACAGCAAGGGTGATCACGGACTCTGTATATTGCCTTGTTCGTTCCTTGACTGTTTGTTTCTATTGTAATGTTGGTTCCTCAAACCTAGAACTGACCTAAATACTTGCATGTAATTAAAAGGGTTTAAAAGAAAAGTTGAATTAAACGAACCTGCCTTCAGCCTGGGAACTGGCTGGGGTCACGCTGCAATTTTGTCTAACTGGCTCTTTTCTTTTAACCTTTACTCCTGCACTGGAGAACCTGTTGACTGGCTGAGGGGGCTTGGTCATTAAGCACTATGTGCATACGGATTGTCTCCAGAGAATTAAGTGGACAGAGCCTATCACCTGTAACATTCTGGGCTGTGAAAAGCTAGCTAAGACGGTTTGCATCCAGCACACCTAAGTCACATACACACTTTGACAATGTTAGTCTGAAGTCACCCAGAGCAACAGGAATGAAGACTCTGAAAACCTGGATATAGTTAAAGATAGGAGCAGACTGTTACCTATTAAAATCTGGTTTCTTAATTGCATAGACCTCAGAATGAAGTCACCTCCTTTTCATTGCTTGTATAACACTGACATCTAGTGGAGTCAACGTTACTAAGTTCTTCAACTGGAAGTGTTCCCGACCACCTCCCACCACCTCCACGCCCAATGCCAAAGCCAAGCCTGGGAATGACCAACATGCTGAGACTTTCAGGAATTTCAGAGTTTATCCTGCAGTGCCACAACACAAAATCACAGCAGCACTAGATTCTTGCAGGACTCCAAATTTCTACTCCATGAACAGTAGCTAGGAAACTGGGTTTGACTTTTTAAATGCTTTTCTCTCCAAGTGTCTTCTGACATTGAAGAGGCAGCCAGCAAACACAGCCAGAGGCATTCTAAGACCCCTCGATGATTATGATGCAATTCACAGGCAGCTCCAGTCACCGTGCTCTTAACAGCCCCTTGCCCGGTAAGACCTGTAGCACTGTGGCTTCCTGGCTTGTTTGTTTGTTTGTTTGTTTGTTTTGTTTTCACTGTGGCCATTTCCTAGACAATGGGTACAGCAGGGCTTTGAAGAGTAACTATTAGCAATCCTCCCATCTGCCTCCACACACACACTTCAGATCTTCACATGACCCTCACAAGGTCATGTGAGTTATCACTCAGCCCTCAGGGTCTTTTTGGATAGAGAGAACAGAACCCTCCTATAACTAGTTCTGTTTAAAGTAGTATGTCCTGGCTTTCCTATGCCAGGAACCAAAGTTACTTTGCACTGACTGCTGTTAGGCAGGAATCTAGCTAGGCGTCCTCTGCATGGCCATCCCTGCAGTGTGGGTACACAAAGTTCTTATCCACCACCGAACCAGTACATCTTTGGAGCCAAACTCCTCTAAAGATAGCTGTGGCAACTGTTTTTTTTTTTTTTGGGGGGGGGTGTCAAGTCACAAATGAATAAACAGCCTGTTTTGAGACGGGACACCTCCCTTAACCAACTGTCTTGCTCTGGTCCTCAGCTAGAGACTGACGGGGTATGTGACTGCTGGTGCTGTGTCTAAGAAACTTTATGGTGCACACCTAGGATCTGTGCACTACCTGCACATGTCAGTCCCTTGCCTGTTCTGTGCAGAGGCCAGAACGACCCCTGCAGACCTACCCAGCAGTCCTACTGACTGCCTTTGCTGAACATCACTGGTGTCCATGTTCCACACTTCCACAGCAGTGAGAACAACACATTTTCTGTCCCACAGCAGACTAGCTACTGCTCCCAGATCAGAGAGGTTCAGTGATTTGTCTAAGGTCAAACAGCACTGCCAGCAGTGTCTGTCAGAGCCGTAAGATACAGAGCAGCAAAGGAAAGGATGGGGTGGCTCAGAGGGGACCTGCTATCATCAGCAGACCCAGCATGAGAGGCCTAACCGCAGACATGGTGGGAAAGAGTGAGGCACCCACAGACCTGGCAGGTACCTACAGCATTATGTGAGCATCTTCAAATGAGGGCGTCAGGGCAGACAATGAACTCTAGCTAGGCCAGGAGACTATTGGAAGCAGTGGTAAGACACTTCCTTGTGACTGAGTGAGTAGCACTCAACTAAATCCAGAGGCCAAAGGGTTTGCATGGGCTTTATTCAAAGATATTGTGCAGAGCTGGCCAGGGAAAGACTTCCTGAAATCACATCATAGTACCTCTGGGCTCAACTACAAAGCCATCCATGATGAATTGGTGATGTCTGCTGGACATAAGAAGCAGAAAACAGTATGTTTGCCTCTTCTGTAGCTCAGGGAGCATCTGCACCCAACAACTCAACTAGCTTGGAAATGGTACTCGTGGCCCCACCTCAAATTTCTGAATCAAAGCTCAGATTTCCAATCCAGGATATTTCCTGGAGGCCTCTAAGGAAGAAAGCCCGTGGCAGGAATTCCTAAACACTCTGGAGAGAGAGAAACACGGGGTTTGCTATACTGAAGGACAGGCCTGTGCCCACCCCTGGGGTCAGTTCTCAGACCCCAGCAGGTGAACGTAGCTATAGCTAAGGTCTCTCTTTGATTGGACAGATGAAAATGGAAATTCCCCAAGACCTCCCCATCTCTGGATCTAACACAGGTTCTTAGCGTGAGACCATGAAAATCTTGGGAGGGTAAAAGTTGTGCACAAACTCCTCAGGATTCACACCCAGTGCCTGCTGGGAAATTCCCATTCTGCTCAGGAACCAGATCTCTGCTTCTCACGATTCTCTCATACTCCAAGAGTCATTGCAATTTCCTTTACTTTAGCCTGAGTTCTGCAGACATCACTGGATCCTCAGATAGACATGTGACTAAAACACCAGTGACATTGAGAGGTTGATCCCCAGGACTGACACTCACCGTGAATAGGTTGGACCTGCGCTTGGACTGCTTCCGGACAGGCGTTGGAGTGTTGGCAGTGGGAGGGACGTCAATCCGAAGCTCCTTCTGGCTAGTGCTTGGGGTCGAAGGGACAGAGGACGAGTAGTCACTTAAACTCCCACCTCCGTTACTTGTCTGTAAAAATTAAAAACAAAAGCAATGTATTGTCAATGAAACAGCATAAAAACCACTCAAGCAGGGTCACACCAAGAAAAATGGCAAGTGACCATGACACGCTCTCTGTGAGACAAGGTGTCGAGTTCTTTACCTGGCCAGTTTTCCCAGTGTGCTGCTGGAAGCAAGAGTCTGAGAAAAGGGAGCTCAGGCCTCCAGAATGGGGCTTGAAAATTGCTTTCTATTTCCTTAAAAAGGGTCTCATTCTGTTGCCTAGGCTGACCTAAAACTCACTATGCAGCCCACACTGGATCTGAACTTGAAGTTCAAATCTACACCACTGAGACTACAGGTGTCAGTACCAATGCAGTGAACTTTGGAAAAAAAAATTGAAAAACCCCCCACAAATTTCTTCTTCTGAAAAACAAGGTACAGTTAAACGTGGCCTTGTGGCCACTTCACTGTTCCTCCTGGGATGAAGAGGGAATGGGTACTCAGAACAACAAGCAGCCACTCTTACATGAACCTCATAAATCAGAGGATTGTCCTAAAATGTTTTTAGAGCACTTAAAAGCTGAAGACACCAATAGTGAAGGGGTTCAGGTGTGTGGCTGGCCCATCCTAGGCCCCAGTGTATACGTACCAGGGCACTGGCTTCCCAGACAACTTGAGCATCTGGAATAGGACACTTACCCAAGGAGGACTGATCACAAACAAGGACCAGCAAGTCACCAGCTCCTTTATGATTCTCTGGGTTGATCCCTTTGACAAGTACTTTGCTTCAAAATGACTCATTTAGTGAAACATTGTTGGGGGGTATTACCAGCTTCTACAGAACCTAAGATGGTAGGCATAGGCGAATACCAGGTCTAAGCTTAGGTGTGTTCCTGAGCCGGTAAGACAGACTCACAACTGTTGCCTAGCCCTATCAAGAGCAGAGGCAGTGATTTCAATCACCAACAAAGCCAGCAGCATACACCTGCCACCAGCCCGTGCCAGCATGCCTCGTAATGCAGGCAGTGTGCAGAGGGAACATTAAAGACTAGCTCCCATAAAACCCACTTGGCCACAGCAGCTTCTAAAGAAAATGGGAAGTCAATTACAGACATGCTGTTATTTACAAAGTTAAAAAAAAGATAAAAGAAAAAAAAAGGATGACAGCTTTGGCTCGGGATGGGAACCTCCCTGCCGCAGGGCCTCCTTGGGCCCGCTCACTCACTGCCTCACCTCCCACATCACCCTGCGTACCTGGCTGATGTGTACTGCGGACACTTGGGCAGAACACACAGAGGAGTGGCTTGGAGAGTTGGGTAGGGACTTGCAGGGGCCTATGGACAGCTGCTGCTTCTTCCTCGTGGCAACAATCTTCTGAGCAACTGGTAGGCAGAGACAGGAGATATGGATGAGAGGCTGCTGGCTATGTACGAGGTGAACCGGGACCTCTGGTCATCACTGGCTCATGCCATCATCTGGACACCTGACTACCAGGATAAAGATGACATTTCCCGGGGCTTCTGAATCTCATCTCCTAGTTGATCATGGACCACAAACGAGCCTTGGACAACTGAACCAGAGCACAAGCAAGGCCAAGGGGATGAGAATAGGAAACCCATTTGGCTCTCTCAGACCCTGTCCTCAGGTAATAGTTGTTCTTGGTCCCTTTCTTCTTTGTCTTTTTGCTTGCTCTCTCTGAATTGTACAGATGAAACTCTGGGGCCAGCAGCCGCCAGGACCATGAGGTGACTTGGGAACGGAAACCACACCAGTGAGATAGGATTCAAAACAGACCAGTCCTGACTCAGTCCTGCCTGGAAGGGCCTCAGCCAGCCTGTTTGGACCGCCTCAGGGGACTCAAACGTGTAGCAAGAGGTACACAGACACCGTGTATTATCCTAATCAAATAGCAGTTTCTAATGATTTGATGTAAGAGTAAGTCGAATAAGGGAAACTGAGCAGAACCCCTCTGAAAGCGTCTTGAAAGAAAGACTTGTAGGATTATATACTCAAACAAGAGTAATTTTCTCAAGGGCTCTTTCCTGTATTATTATTATTTTAGTTCTAACATACTCCCACATACACTAGAAGTTTATCTTAATCAATACAAATATAAATTCAACCAGCTATAACTTCTCTCAGCAAATAGGCTTGCTGATAAAGCATATTGAATTTAACTGCAAGGAAAATCAACTATTAGAAAGCTATTCTTACACCAATAGGTGTCACTGCAGCTGTGTGTGGAGGCTCTTCCTCGGGGAAGAACTGGAATCAAGTCTGGAGCTTCCCAGTCCTCACCTCTGCACACACTGCTACTGCGTTTGAGGCACTCTGTCCCTCTAGGACCAATGGTTACAAGAAACAGGCCACGCGGTGTTCACAGACAATTTCACTTCCAAATGAACACAACTTTAAGCAGAAACTGGTGTGCCCATAGCTCATGGCTTCTGTGCAAATGAATGACAGTGTTAAATGTGACTATGTGGAAATGCGATCTATACAAAATGGTTCCCAGAGACGAAGCAGCCGCTTCATCAGTCATGGCCCACCTCCAAAAGGCTTCTCATCACCCTGAAAGGATGATATCAATTAATTTATCTTCCCACCACGTATTGATCATAACCTTCATCAGCTAATCATGTTTAAATTACAGAAAAATTTCGTGGCACTCCGTCATTTCAAAGCCATTGGTGTACTGATCAGGGACCGTTGAAAATATGTATTAGACTATCTTAAGAAAAATCATTATGTGCACTCAAAAAGAAAACCTAAGGTCAGTGTCCAAGAACTGCAAAATAACTGTCACGTGGAGGTTCTGAAATTTCAAGGCCCAAATTAACCCCAAATCCTAACTGCCCGGGTGCTGTGGTCTGGATGTAAAATGCCCCTCCCTTTGGGCTCATCTATTGGAAACATGATACCTAGCTGGTGCTGCTGTTCAGAGAGGTTCTTGGAGAGTTAGAAGGCGGGGCCCTGTTGAAGGATATATATTTTTAGCCCCACCCTACTTCCTGTTCTCTCTTTCTCCAGATGAAATGTGATCAGCCAGCTTCCTGACGGCCAGTCCATCTTCCTCTTTTTGCTGCTGTGCCCTCCCTGCCATGATGGGTCCTATCGCCTCTGAAACTGCCAGTCAAGATAAACCCCCTCAGCCCTATTTCTCTTTTTGTCAGGCCTTCTGTCACAGCAACAGAAAAGTAACTGATGCACCGGGCGACCAACCATTTGCGAAAAAAGGTTCAGATAATCAACGTTTTGGTTTTCTCTCAGCTGAGTTCCCACCAATCTGGACCCACAATGACTTAACCACGGACCTTAGAGGAGAGGCTCAAAACATCTCAAGCACGCACTCTGGACACCTGCTATGAAGGTCTTCCGTGAGAAGAGAAGGCTTAGGAAACTGAGGCAGCATGCTAAGAAACTCACACTGTGTGAAACTTTGAATGAAAACTCCCTGTCATCCATATCAGTAGGCACCAGGCAAATATTCAAGAATAAAGAGCACAACTCAGAGCAAAGCTACAATGGGCAGTACAGAGTGTGGCTGCACAGAGTGTGGCTGCACACTAAGTGTAAAAGCCTCTGCCTCCATGGCAACTGTTCTCCAACCTTAATCACCAAAACATAGACCCAAAGCATCTAACAACTGACATTATTTATTTTTACTACATTTTATTTCCTGTTTGACCTACTTCCTTATTATTCTTTAGACCTAACTTACACCAATAAAGGAAAAAAATGATTTTAAAGTTTCTGTCCTGTGATGTTGCGAGTACTTTGGAAAGATAAAACAAAAGAATAGGGCACATCCAGACAAGAGGATTCTGGGTAAGGATGAATCGAGTGAGAATGGGAGAAGATGAAGAAGGGCTGTCCTGTGTTGTAGTGGCACCTTTTTTTGTCTAAGGGAAAGAGGATATTAACTACGTAGTAACTTCCCGCTAACAGTCACATATTCGCTAATGTCTACTACTGTTTCCTGCATTGTGTACCAAGGAGGAAACAGCACACCTGGTGCCTCAGCTGAAGACTTCACTAAGCGTCACTAGGTGACTGAAAACTACAGAGGCAACTCCAGTCAGGAAGGAACTATGCATATGATTATAGGACCATGTCCACCATCATGGGACTGGATAGGAATCTGGACAGATCTGATCCTAACAGGTGACTGCTTGGTCCTTCCCTGATCACCAGGCTACAGCACGGGCCACAGGAACAAAAGGTAGGCCCTCTCCTGTGACACTGTAATTAGTGCTGATACTTAGAATAAAGTGCTGGTAGGTTTCCAGTCAGCTATAACCCCAGACTCTGCTGGCTGGGTAATCTCATTCTCTGAGTTTGCTAGTTCCTTAATCATTCAACAAACACAGTGTTACAAATCTTACGTCATCAGTATACACATGTAAACATCGTTTTCTGTGTTATGCACCATATACAAAATCACCCAAATCCAAAATGATCTGGTTTTTTATTGTTGAGATTTACTATTCTCTCATACTTGGTGAGATTCTACCACTATGGGTTGTGCTCCATATAAAAGTGTCACCTAGGACAAGATGACCATTGCCCTTTACCACAGAACCACACCACTTCCTCTCTTTTCCTTCACGGGGTACTTGGGGTTCTTTAAAGTTCCTTCCTCTACAATGTAGCTTTCTGTCTGGACTTGAACAGGGGTCCAAAGCTTTCTGTTTCAACTTGAATGGGAGAGACAACAAAAAGCCCTCCCTTTGACCAGCCCTTCATTTGTACCTATGGATTTAATCTCACAAAGCTCACAATGGCCAAGCTCAGGCAGAGGAGCATGTCAGAAAGGTGTCATCTTCTGCAGAGGGTAGGCTAGTACCTGGGAGTTTGACAAACTTCTCCTTCAGGTGGGAAGGGCACCATCCTAATCTGCGTTAATGTAATCCTTAAACTGAGACATATACTCATGTACATAGCTCCATTCTCCAATTAGAACAAGTTACAAAAACTGACGTGGACTTGCTTGCTTCCCCCAAAACTGTACATGTGCTACTGAACAAGGAAGCACCGGAAAACGCTGAGAAGGACTGCTCTGCTCAACCACAGTCAAACACCCCATTGTCTTCCATGGCATTACTGGCTCATCCACACAGAAGCATGAGTCACCTTGGTCCCTCTGCTCACAGCCCTGTGACCATGCACACGGAAGCTTTGTTCTCTGCCGGCTGAAGGCTGAGCATGGTGAGAGGCCTATGACCTCACTCTATCCAGCAGATAAAGAAGACCCAGTGGAAGCTAGATGTGGGGCTCACTGGTCTTACAGAACTGCAAGACTGAGGCAGGAGGAAAAGGACTAACTCTAGACCAGCCTAGACTACACAGAGATCTGAGCTCAAACAAGCCAACCACAGTCTCAAATATAACAAATGAACAACAGAAAAAACAAAACAGAGGAGGACAGTAGCTCGGACCATGCCCTCCAGCCCAGCCTACACTGACCCACGACAGGAGCTGGGGAGTCACTTGCTCTCCACCTCCTTCTCCGTTCCTAAGGGTACTCACAGAACTAACTGCAGTGATTTAAGTGAGATATTTACCCCATAGTCTCGGGCATTTGATACTTAGTTCCCAGGTGGTGGCGCTGCTTGGGGAAGAAGCTTAGAAGGTATGCCTTGTTTGAGCACACCTTCAAGACAGACTCACGAGTTTGCAAGATTCATACTGCTTTTCTCCTTTTGCTTTGTGCTTGAGGTTCAAGATTTGAACTCTCAGCTTCCTACTCTATTCTGCCATGACTGCTACTTCTTGTCATGATGAACACATATCCCTCTGGATCTGTAAGCCCAAATAAACTCTCTTCTATGACTAATACACTGACATAAACAAAGGAAGCTTGTTGCCAAGACGACAGTGTGTCAACCAAGCAGAAGCATGGGTTCCTCTCTCTAGCAGCCTCCTTCAAGCCTGTGTTCCTTGTCTGAGGCTACTTCCACCCACAACTTCTGACCCCTGTACCTTAGGAGCTGGTCTGTTTGTGACCTCGGGTGGTGCCTAGGATCCCTGGGCAAGTCAGAGCACATGTTCCTCCATGAGCCCTGGGCAGTTCCTAGTAGAGCTGACTACACCAGGGCTTGTCCGTTCCTTCCTTTTCTAGGCTTCCAAAACTCACAAGGTCTTGGCCTCGCCTCTCTGCCTGAATTCCTCAGTTCCTTGTTGGCTTCTCACAAGGTGCTTCCAGGGCTCTGGTCCTCAGGCTTCTCAAAGCTCCAGATTCTCTCTTGGGAAGGCACCTGGACATTCATGCTTTAGTAACTATTTTCAATGCTGATGGCTCTCTGTTGACAGACCTGTCCCAAGGCTTCTTGTGTTCTAAAACTACAGGACCACAGAAAGTCCAGCATCTGACTTTACTGTG